TTATTTTAAATGGTCCTGTAGTATTAAAATGTGTCCTGTTTCCTCCTCAGAGTAAAAAAATAAATATGTAATTGTGAGGTCATGTATAAAGTATATGAGAAATAAAGTTTCAATTGGAGAGAGTCACAACTGAGAAATTGCAAAACAAAGTCACATCGCGAGATATACAGTAAAGATGCAATTGTGAGATATAAATTTTGAATCATTTATGAGAAAATAGAGTTGAAATTTAAGAGGAAAAACCACAATTGTGCAATATAATTGTCATACTGCAAGATATAAATCAACATTAGGAGATATAAAAATGAGAAATCATGAGAAACAGGCATCTGTTACAGGGTATGTAGTCTCTCCGTCATTGTTCAAGCTGCATGCATAAATTAATACTTAAAATAGTTTTAGATGCAGTAATATAGAAAATCATTTCACGTCGCAGAATTTGTGAACTACATCTAAATCTGTGGTCTAAAATTGTGGGAATCATATAAAACAATGTTTCCCAATGAGCCCTGATATTTCACTTTTACATAGGAGCAAATGAAACTTAAAATGTGTTCATTTGGCAGACACTTTCATCAAAGTGACATTATGCATTTTATTAGTATTCTCTGTCACCCACTTTAACCATCATCCACCTGCACTGAAGAGTCTCCACTAAAGCTAAAGCCTCTCCTCTATACAGACTGACTTCTGCATATTAAAAACAGATTGAGGACCATCTTACCTTAGAGTACTTCAGAATGTGCTGGGAAGTCCAACAGGCATCAAGTTCATGACGAGGAGCTTGGAAAGTGTCTAAGGTCCCATTAAAACCAAGAAACGTGTGTGCGGGCGCACTCAGCTTTCGAAAGCGTCTCTTTTTGCGCTTCTCCTTGGATATTCAAGGCAGCTCCTCCGCAGAGGGAAGGGTGCTGTCATCACAAATTCCCCAAAATCCCCACAGGCAACGGGAAGCCTCAGCATGCAGTGACTAAGACATTCAGAGTAAGAGTGGAAGGGGAGAAAGAATGTATAGTTGATGGTTTGGAGGAGGAGTTACGGATAAGGGGAAAGGGTGAAAGAGAGAGAGGAAGAGAGGAGATACTGTTGTGTAAACAAGACCCTGCACAAAGTATATTTGGATGTCAATAGCCAGCACTGGCTTTAATTGTGAAGGAGAACAGATCCATGTCTCAGCGTATGTCTCTGACCCCCAGTTCAACAGGGCTGGATGCATTCCAGGTTACACCACCATTATCAACAGAAAGCCATACGGATACCTTCTAAAACAAAAGAAATGGATGGACCAAGAAAGAAAGGGATAGGCTATTTTACTTCACCATGGCTTTTTTTCCCATCAGGAGAGCTGTCTGGATCACCCAGGAAGTTCTGTGGCTGTGTCCAAATCCTAAGGCACGTCAATGGCTTATCAGAAAGCGTTTTTGTATGAATGTACTTCAGTTCAGTTTCCAGGGAACCATAGCATCACCACTAATGATCTGGATCTGGAACAAAAAATTAAAGGGATACTCAACTTTTTTGGAAATAGGCTCATACCACTCCCTAGAGTTAAACAGTTGAGTTTTACCGTTTTCGAATCCATTCAGCCAATTTTCTGATATTTAGAAGAATGTCAGTAACCAGACAGTTTCTGGTCTCACAGACTTCCATAGTAGGAAAAAAATATACCATAGAAGTCATGGAGGTCGAACTGGAAGCCATGTTAATCTTGGACTACATTGGCGACCGTAGGAGTTAAAACGAAATCGCAATTGAGAGGAACAGAAACTAATATTCAATGGATGATCATATACCTTTTCACCGCTAGATGGGGGTAAAAATCACACAGTGTAGCTTTAACAAGTGTTTGTCAGTGTCGGCTGCAAAGATGAAGTTGGCAATGCTGACTCTTCACAGTAGTGAACGCGCCAGAGAGAAATGCACATTTCATTACATAAGCATAAGAGTCCGATTTCTTTCATTTTGAATTGTTCTGTTAAAAAAAGTCGACATGTCAAGCTTTCTATATATATAATATATTTCGCAGGTCTGTGAGGCAAGTACCTTATACACTGTGTTTCGGTTCATTTATTAGACGAGAGTCCAGTTCACACGCCGACGCCTCCGTGCCATGATGACTATATTTACTTCTTATTTATTAAATCCATGCAATTGGTTGATGAAACATTGATTAAAATGAAGATACAATTAATACAAAACAAAATTCACTTTAAAGAAAGGCTTTTTGCTTTCTTTTGGAGGTCTCTGTGAAAGTTTTAAAGTCGCTTTCAGAGCTTGTCATGTCCGTAACAGTTTTTGTCCTCATAAATGCGAACACAAAAAATGTAATAAAAATAATATTTTACGTTCTGTGGAGGCCGACCCTTCTTAATCGGTGGGTGGTGTTACTTTTGTTTTGCACAGTGTAGTTCATAGAATTACTAAAAATTATTTTGCCACCTAAAAGTTAAAGATTGTTTGTGTCGCATGACTTGCGTCACATGTGTATTTCCCTCATATTAAATATCAAATATACTCATATTAAATTACCCAATTTTAAAGAATTTATCCTCAACTAGTTTTTGGCGTAGGTCTGCGTATTTTATTATATTAACTTCTACTAATAGTAATTTAAAAATGTGGTAGCCCTATGTCTAACACAACACACTCCACTGGTATGGTGGTTCACTAGATTTACTCACTAACATTGTTGTGGAAACACAATAAGATTGGAATCTAAAATATGGTAGTATCGGGCTACAGCGCACATTATATCAGCTGCAGTTCTGGCTCCTCAGTCTCAATACTGTAAAACTCGACGTATATTCACATCACATGTTAATGCAGCGGTAGAGTTACACTCACATGACACTGCACTTATTCACAATCCCAAAAGTTCATTATTTGCTCATGCTTTAAAGTTTTTGTTTTATTTTTGTTTTTTTTTTAGTTTGGGAACCACTGCCCTAGAAGAAGCAATAGTCACAAATCAACATGGACTCCTGCTGACCCCATCTAGTGAAGCAGCCCTAGATTCCCTTCATTCATTCATAAAACTCTCTTCCATTCTGCCTGAAGCCACTTTAGACTCAGCAAATGCTTTCATGTTACTCAAAGTAGGTACTTATTCCACATTAGTCCAAAAATAAAAGCCTCAGTAGCAATTCATCTTAATGTTTCAGTTGTAAGTTTAAAACAAAATTAAATAGGCTTTGAAACTTGCAACTCTCGGACTATAATCAATTATAATAATTGTAACTTGTATGACCTCCAAGAACCATGTTGTTAATGTTACTGGATACACCTGAAGCATTTCATCCCGTATACATGCGGGTCATTTATTCAGCAGCTTTCTCCACAAAGTGAAAACCTTTCCCCCTGACATGAAATTTTCACTTTCTGAGTTTTTTTTAACATTAATATTAGTTCCCCAAGCCTGTATTTGGTCCCCCTGTGTCTAGCATATTCAATTGGTGTAAACCAAGCTTTGTCTAACTTTCTCTTCTCTGTAGCTCAGACGAGCTGATCTTGAATCTCCCCTGTATGACGCTTTACCCCTTTCTCTGCTTTTCCCGCACGGAGAATTTGGCTCGACCACATGAGAAAACAAGCTAGGAACAGGAAGTGCGAATATGCAGGCGCGATTTTAGTTTTTCCTCGAGAGATATCATGGCTTGCAAACGAGTGAAACATAGCAGTTGCTCAGTGTTCGGATGTACAAATGAACACAAACGTATTTAGCCTCTGAAGAAACAATGGGTTAATTTTATTTTCTCTGGAAATGCGCCAACACAACTTCCCAAAGTTTTGTATGGTCCAAAAATTTCATCGACGATGTTTCCTCAACTTGAGCCAATACAGAGCTGGCCCCGATGAACGTCTGAAAATAAATCGATCAAGCTAACGTTACAAAGCAACAATAGAGGCGGGTGTTGGCGGTGATCCTCCTCAGCTCTTCATCAAGGTTGGCTCTCCACAAAATAAATCCACCTCTTCTTGATGTGATCGTTTTTTAGGAAATTTAAATAAAGACACCGATCTGTTTTGTACATGATCGCATCTAGGTAGTAGCCTATGCATTTCCGTGTCGAAGGCATAGCTAGCTAGAAAACTGTAGGTTGTCGTAACTAATAGTACTGAGTCACTCACAATTGAGCGCTGAACTGAAGCGAATGTACTGTTGGGGGAGCCTCAGTGCATCATCAAGAAGGGGCATATCCACGAGCTCAGGGGCTCCAGTGCGTCATCGAGCTCTGTTATAGTCCCGCCCAAAAAATCCAGAAAATAGCAATGCCGAAAAAACTGTTTAACGGTCTAACTCCACATTTCAGTATAGTTCACAGTTCACAGTCTGTGTAATATATTTTAGCAATACAATTTTATCAGGTCAAAAGGCCTTCTATATGCCATACACGTAGGTGTCTAAAATATAAAAGGAAAAATAGCTTGCTAAAACATCTGATCTAATTTTTTTTATATTCATATCCAGTTGTGAAAAATATCAACTTTTTTGGTAAATATTGGTAAAAATTAGACGTCACTACTTTGGCTCTCGGGCAGTATTCTTATCTTTGATGACTTTGAGTGTTTGGGATCTTTTTATTTTACAAAGTACTACGGCTGCCCCGATGGAAATGTGTAACTGTTCCAAAAAACTATTGTCCAGACCTCCGCTGGAGAGGAAATATAGTGACAGGACCTCTTGCAACTTTAATTGAATACCCCTGGACTAGTGGTTATTTTTGCTCATTTTATCCATCAAGAAAAATGTCTGCTGTTTAGCAAAGTCCTTTTATTTTTCTTCTTCAACAAAAAGGCATCTTACATGTTTTTTTTAGCACAAACAGAAAAATGTAAGTTACCAGGCCAGCCAAAGTTTAATACATAGGGTATTGTTCACAAAAAAGCTCTTTAAGCCAAAGCATAATTTGACTCAAAATATCCACTATTGTACCACATTTACATAAAATTTAAACCTTTTTTTAAATATGTTCTTGGGTCTGGTAAGAACCCTTATAATTTAATTACCAACTAAATAAATTAAATAAAGAAACACTGAACGGCAGCCAAAGCTGGCTCAGCATTGACGTGGAAGTTGCCAAAATTGACTCTGAGACTCCATAATCTTCAAAGGCACTCGAGCAGGAAAAAAGCAAGACCTTAAAAAAGAAAGGGCTTATGTCACCACCAGTCTGTCCTACATGGAGATCACCACAAGGGCGGCAGATGAAAAGCAGCAGCAGGCTGAGCGACTGGCAGGATTGTGTGAATGGATGTCTTTATTTGAAGCGGTGAAGCCCTGGAGGTGAGGTGACCCTTCTTTGTGCTGTGGAGGTCTAGCTTAAACACAGCTGGATCTTCATGTAGCTCAGCCAAAGACACCCTCTTCTGATCTCTTTCCTCCAGTGCTGAAAAGCAGCCCTGTTTGTTGGACACTCTCTGTTAGATTTGTAGGACTCCCTTACTGAGACAAGCAAGAAGACAAATAACTATCTCTCTCTCCTGTAGAAGTGCAATAACTCGCATTATTGCTTGAGCTTCTGTTGTTTTTGTCTCTTAATCATCACAGCATTCGGAACAACTCTAAAACCCTTGTAAAAATACCAAATGCCACCAGATACCACACGGGCCCATTGTGGTGCGCTAATGTTAAAAAACATATAAAAGTATGCATGTATTATTTGAGAATATGGAGTCTGAATAAAGGCCATACGGATTACATAGCTGTGTAAGGAAAATTGTATTTATGATAATCTGTTATGTATGTGTTAAAAAAGTGGAGCATCAGTGCCCTCACCTGGCTGAGGGTGGTTGTGCTTGCGAACTTTTTGATTGTTGGGGGCATGTACATGAAGTCAGTTAATAAACTTTAGTTTTCTCTTTAACCATGGATTCAATGAGTCTTTAAAAAAAAAAAAACACCTTTCTGCTTCTTCAAAATCCCAAAGGGACCACTCGGACACATCACCTATTGTAGGCACTTTCTACAGTAGAAAGGGGTCATTATTGGCACTCTAATTGGTCCTTGGCTACGCAGCTCCATTCACAACAGAATGTGATGCAGATGCATTCCTCCCATATAGCCATCATTACAATTGTGTGTGGCTTGTGCCACAGTAGACCTTCTGCTGGTTTGGACCAGACTGGATAGTCTTTGTTGCCCCTGTGCATTGATGAGCCTTGGGATTGAGCCTTGAGTTTGTCCCTCCTCGGACAACAGTCGGTAAATTCTAAGCTAAACCTAAGCTAAAGAGGGCTCGACAATGACTCTGTCGTCCCAGAGTCACCCCCCTCCGTCCCCCACTCAATTGGTAAGGGTTAAGAGGTTCTAGGTGGCCTACCACAAGCTACAGTGTACACAAGCTATGGAAGATACCATCACTTCCGCTGGAGCCCCCTCTATGAGGCGCCTCTATGCGTTGAAGTGGAACTTGTTTGTCGTTTGGTGTTCTTCACGCCGAGGAGACCCCCAGATTTGGAAAATGGGTTGGAGGCATAAGAGTTCCCATACGAAAGGGAACGGTCTCTGAGTAGGGAATGGAGACGTCTTGCCCTGTCACCATGTTTGCTGTATCTTCGCGGTGGACTAGACACCGTTCAGCTTCTCAGCGTGAAGCAAAATGTGTGTGTGTTCGCTTCCGCTTTATACCCGCATTGGTAGGCGGGACAAGGAATGCAAATCCCGAAGGCAGTTGGTCTCCCTAGGCCTAGCATGATCCCAATTCGTTGGAAACTCTTCCGACGAGACGTCTCCGTTCCCTACTTAGGGAACGAGGGTTACCATACGTAACAGAGACGTTTTTATATAGGAGATTTTGGATAACTCTATTTATCATTTTTTTAGGAATAAAATACAAATACAAAATAAAATGGGAATATATGAATACCTCAGTGTTGACCCTCACCCTTCACCCTCTGTAAAAACCTTCAGAATATAGATAAGAATAAAACTGTAAAGTTTAGTAAATGTAAGTGTTACTGAAGTGGAGAATTATGGCTGTGTTGGAAAAAAACGGCCTTTAAAGACATATCCTGTCATTGAAATCTACAGATGCAAATAGATAAAGTGCTCTAAACGATAGTTAAGTCTATTTTGGATGTTTTCTTTCCACTAGTCTGAAAAAAACACTATGAAAAGCCAAAAATCTCAAAATTGACAGATGCATATTTTTTTTTGCCTGTAGTGCCTCACCTTCAAACGGAAAAAAATGGAATTTGAGAAAAAATAATAAGGATTTAATAGGGCCCTACATTTGCGTCAGGTGTGTATCAACACCATGTATCCGTAAAACGGCAACTCTGCGACACTATAGTAGTCTAAAGCCCTAATCGAGAATTATTCCTCACATACTGTCTGGTTGTCAGCCGTACAGACACATCCACCATGATCAATATGCCATAAAATATGACAGCACCTCAAGCAGGGTGCATCTCGTTAAATCTAAAAATATTTACACACCTCCATAAAGCACGGATCAGGCCTGTTCCTTTTTCACAAAGTATGTCTGAGTTCCCTTAGTCATTGGTGAAATCTCTGCATCAGAATAAAATAGACAGGAAGTTATAATGGACCACAAATGCCCATAAAATGTTATATTGTACTATTTAAAATCCAGATTTTCATGCTAGACTATTGATTTTAATAATAAAGTTCTTATCACAACAAGCAAGAGAAAGAGACTTTAACCTCGAAAAAAATCAAAACATTTGCTAAGCGGCATTCCACAGATTAATGTGGAAATGGTGCTATTGTGCCATTGTTTGCTCTTTTCCAAGTTATGATTATGAACCTTAGTGTTACCCAACTAGTGTTAACAGAGAGCTTAAAGAAAAGAGTGGAAAACGTGGAAAGGTATGTCTGAATATAGCGGGCAACATTGGAGTGTTGGAGAGTTTACATTAAGTCATGGGCAAAGAAAGGGACAGTCTGGTAAAAATCCAACAATGGGCTTTAACAATACTCTAACATCAGTCATGCTGAAAACAGGTGAGCGATTGGAATGTTTTGCCCAATATTTTCATGCTCAAATGGCATTTAACCTCCAGCACTTCTAACCAGCCTCATCCCACACTAAACCTTGAGATTCAGACACTTATGTAACATTAAACCGCCTCTAAAAAAGCACAGAAGACAAAGATGAATAGAAAAAAACAGCTTGTTAGAACATTCCAGTGATGCCTTTATCTTTGACTCAATATTCCCATTCCGTTTCAATTTTCTGAAAGATTCCCCAGATTCCAGAAAGCCAAGTCAGGCGTTCTGCATTATCTCCTCAAAACACACTTAAATTCCATCTTCACCCTAAGACACTTGACGCATCCTTATAAATCTAACTCAATGCCCTCAATGGCAACTAACTCATCGGACTTGGGTTTTGCATTATGTGCTTCTTTCAGGCTCAAGAAGAGGCAATGGATCAAAGTTCACTTTGTTCTCCAAGAAGTTGTTTCTTAAACACGTGGTTAAGGGTTGTTCATGACTTGGGTACCAAAAAAGGTGATGGTCTATTTTCTGATGAATGAATAAGAGCATGCAAAATGGATTTCAAAACTGGTTGTGATTCCAAAACTGAAGATATGGACGCTTTAGCGGTAAGTTCTGCCAGGAAGACTCAATTGTTGCGTCACTAATTACCTTCTCATCTATCCAATCGTGTTGGATCAGTATATCAGTATATCAGTAACCAGACAGTTTCTGGTCTCATTGACTTCCGTCAATGAGACTAGAAACTGTCTGGTTACTGATATTCTTCTAAATATCAAAAAATCAGCTGAATGGATTTGAAAACAGTAAAACTCAAATGTTTAACTCTGGGGGAGTGGTAAAATGAGCCTATTTCCAAAAAAAGTGGAGTATCCCTTTAATGACAATATTGTTGAATCTGCGTTTCACTTTGATTGATTCTACATCACCGATGCTGATTCAATATTAAAATTAACAAAAATAGTCATTGGTAATAATATTGCTGAATCATGCAATATTTAAATTAAAGGGCTACCACCGTTTTTTGCGATTAAAGCGTGAGACGAGAGAGGTGTGTATCAACTCGTCTTAGTTAAGGGAATAACATAGTTTAATATGAAAAAACGGTGGAGTATCCCTTTAAAGGGCATATTGCACCCAGTGAACCAATGTATAGAAAAAAAAAATGTAAGAACTAGATTTAAATATAAATATACACTTATAAAACACTATTTAGGCTTTTGGAGTCATTTTTGTGAGAAAATTTTACTTTTGCATCTGAAAACCGCTAAACCGGAAGTGACAGTCAAAGACAGCCTGCTATGCAGTCAAGCGACATGCCAGTATTAGACAAAACAATGGTCAGAGGAGAAAACATGAGGTGTGGTGTGAGGAGAATAGGGCAGGTGTCTTGTTGAGAGACCAGTGTTAACCTATAGATATATCGGTAATGCTTCCTTTTACAGTCCAGTTACCCATGTAAATACTATGTACTTATTTTAGTTACTACAATTACTGGGTAATACTTGCGTCTTCCAACTGACGCTTTACCTTTAACATCAATTAGGTGACGGGGTAGGGTTAGGATTAGATAATGGCATCTAACTGACGTTTAAGGGTACCCTAAAACGGCGGATGTTGACGTATGGTCAATGACGTCTTGGGATGAGACTGCGCTGTTTACGTAACATTCATGTATGTAATAATTTAAGTAACTATAAATATGAGGACAAGAAACCCTAATGAATTTTTATTTTTATCATATTAAGCATAAGATTAATAATGAATGTCTACATATTGTGAATTAATTTAATACATTTAGTTAGTTTTCCTGGTAGCCTTCAGTAAATTAACTTGTCTAAGAAAATGATTCATAAAACATATCAATATCAGTTGACCCTATGTTTGCTTTTAACACTGACAGACGAAAATGAAGAAAAAAAAACTATCAGTTAAAGCTCAGCTTTAGAGGGGAAGAGATAGGGCAAGATAATGAGACTGAGAGAAAAACATAGACTGATGGAGATGTAGAGAGAGCAGGTGTTGACATATAATCTACTACCCACTGACACGATTTTAAGTCTTAAATTGCACACATGTAGATCAGAGAATTTTTTTTTTTTTTTTGTCGGGGGTGGGGGGGGGAGCATACCCCTGAACAACCCCCCCTAATATTTACGAGCTCTGTGATTATAAAACGATCCCTATACAGTCCTTACCACAACCTTTGTAACATGGTAAAATAGAAATCCAGTCTGCCCACTAGGCATTTACTATAACCTTGTAAATATCGTTAATTGGAATTAATGATTGGACGAATATCCAATATGAATCTTTGCCAAAGTTGATTATGTTAGTTTGTGTTATTAACACATGTATTAGTAAATCTTGAAATTAACAACAATGACTAAAAAATGCTTTAAAAGGTACTTTTATTGTTAGCTCATGTTGTAGTTTTATTCCTATTTTTACTTGTAAAGAGTTAGAAGCCTTGTCTGTGTAGTAAAAAAAAAAAAAAACTTACATAACTTAAGAAAACTAAAAAATATATAACTAAATAAAATTGTGAGAAACCAATTAAAAAGATTATGCAGATCAGCGAAACAACAGCTGATGCATATGCCACTACAGATGACCCATCAGGAGAATATGCTGACTGATCAACCCCATGTCTTTAACTGGCATCTCTCAGTTTGAGTTCATCTGCTCAGTGGACCCAAAGTGTTCCCTGATAAGCAATGTTGGTGAATTATTAGTATTACAAGCATTTGTTGCTGACTTGTAAAAAGATTAGTTCACTTGAAGCAGCAAGCAATAACAGTAATGCTACAAAACGTCCTGTAAGCATACCAGTTTGCTGATCTTACAAAGCTCCATTGTATCTATCAGTAGTTTTTCCTAGCAGTATTTCTGCATGACACGTTTATTGCAGAAACATTTTTGAAATATCTCAGGTCTTAAATACTGGTTTTGGTTTCCATTTACATTCCATCAAATCTCAAGCGTCCCATATTTTAAGCATTTCGACCATATTTTAGGCCATGTGGCAATAGATGACAACATTCCACAGATTTATGAATAACCAGAGTGTCATTGCTCTGGCTGTGCGGCGGACTCGCTCCTATTTTCATGACAACATGATTGGTTGGTGACTTCCCAAGAGGATTATAAGAAACCTCATTGTTGATATTTTCCCTCATTTGTGCTTTTGGGGTTTATAGATTTCCAGATTCATTGCAAAACCAATAGCAGGGAACCGCCTGAGCCTCTAGACACCCCTCTGGCACCAGCTGAAATCCCCAGTATTAAACTAAGCAACAGGAAAATGGCTCGTAACAAAAGGGCTAAAAGAGCAAACGCTGCAGGAATAGATCAGACCAATAGTACTTTTATGGTTTTGTGTCAGATGCGTTTTCTATGAGGAGGCAAGAAAGCAGTAAAAAAAAAAAAAGTGTAAAAATAAAATGAATATCACAAAAAAAAATTCACATCCATCACAGTAAGACCCATCTATCATGTTTACAACCGTTTCACAGAAATGGACAAAAAAAAATCATTTACGTAACTTGAAATTACTTGAAATAGAGATATGTGAGTAAGTTGTCATATCTACAATATTTCACATTTTTTTGTTTTTCATGCACTGGTCAATTTTGACTTACAGTATTGGGATATTTGGCCTTTTATAACCTGTTGCTTCAGACTAGTGGAAAGAAAACATCAAAATACCCTTTTAAGCGTAAGTGTATTGACATCAATAGATTTCTATTATTATACATCTTTAAAGGCCGTTTTCTCAAATTAAGTTTCTCATGCACTTAACCAAAAATACACCAAACTTTACATCAATCCTATGTATATAAATTGAAGTTTTTTGCATAGGGATTTGTTCATATATATATATATATATTTCCAGCTGTTGACAATATTTTCTGATTTATGGAGTGATAAAAGGAGAAGTCCCTTCAGTAAACACCTTTGACTTTAAGGCAACAAAATGAAGCAAGCGTTTGTACCTGGCTTCATCTAATTTTCAGATTTATAATCTGGAAATGTATGCAGATTAGTAAACATTTAATTAGATAATGAATCATTTGCATATTTGAACATTTGATAAAATTTGTAATACATTTTTTTTTTTTACAATTCTTAATGTAATCAACTGGGGAAGTATGGTGTTATCTATTATTTAATGTTTTTTAGCTATCTCCTTTTTGAGAAATGTATTTAAAAATAGGCATAAAGCTGATGTCATTTATTAATTATCAAGAAAAATATTTCAAGTATTGTTATAGTAATAAAAACGATTGGTCCCTTTAGCTGGGAAACCATAAACATTTTTGTAATTTGCATTGTACTGAAAAATGGAGCAAACTTTCCCTCCACATTGCAGACTTCCACCACAAGCACTGCTTTGAGCATGTTTGTTTGTTGTACAAAGCAGATGTCTTTTATGAGCAGATGACGGTGTGTGATGACGGATGTTCAAGTAGTGACTCTGATTAACAACACAAGAGTCGTGATAGCAGAAACCTGTCAGAAACCTGTTATTTCAGCAGTGTAAATTAGAGTCTCCCTGTGATTATCTAGCTAGTGCTTGATATGGTGTGAGAAGTGGTTACGTGTGTTTATGTGACCTCTGTGGTGTTCATCTGAGAAAAACGCAGTATGTCAGGAATATTCCATGGAACGAGGAGCAAATTAATTCACCTTAAAAACACACTCCAGCCTCACCTGCCTTAACTTGCTCAGGCGATGGGCAAAATCAGGGAGCAAATTCCTTCTACTGAAAGGCAGCAGCAGACGTGGGGAACGTAGGCTGTGATGGCCAACAGAATCAAGCAGATAGTTTCCTGTAAAGTAGAGTTTAATGTTACATTTCATCATCACATGCACATGTACTTCTTTATAAGCAACAAAATATATTTTAAATTACGGTCCTCAATGACCGCATCATCATAACACATCTAATTCCAACAGTTAATTTCATTTCCCAGTGCAAAATAACTAATAAGCTAAAATTAACACAAAAGGAGCATTGACCATAATCGCTTATTCAAGCAATCCCTCTTAATGTTTTGGAATGTATTCTGGTAACGAGTATGAAACTTATCTGTTTCTTCTATACTCAAAAAGCATTTTGTTTGTATATAAAAAGACAGACATATACAGCAGAGTCTCCAAATTCAACAATGCAGCAATAGAAATGACCGAAATCCGTTACCTTTCTTTATTTCACACAGAATGGCTGTAATGTTCTCCAAATTTACTTTGGAGACATCTAAACCCTTTTACTGTCATTTACTAAAAGAAAATGTAAAACATTTACACTTAAAAATATTGATTAAATTTTAATGCAATAATGAAATCAATTACATTTAGCTTACCATGTGAACTGAGTAAATGTAAGTTGCTAACTTGCTAAGAAAAAAATAAGTTGCTCTGAGTAACTGCATTTAGAACAAGTTAACAAGTTAGAAATAATTGAGAAAAACATTTAAAGGTCCTATATGTAACTTTTATAAAATTAATCCTTTTTTATTGTGTGTTAAGGGGTTGTAATCACACATTGCAATGATCCATTTTTCGGGTTTTGCTATTACCTCTGAAGGCCAATATTCATATTTATATGCGAGGTCTCCGGGTCGGATTTCCTGCGAAATCCATCGGAGCTGACGTGCATGCGCGCTCCCGAGCCTACAGTCTATGCGACCAACGGCACTTCAGCTGACGACATGGAGTCTGATAACCCACCAAAACGTCCTGCCTCCAGCACAACACAAACTCCAAAAAAAAAAAAAAAAATCTGCTAAAGCTCATCAGGCAAATCCTGAATCTGGTCGACTCTGGACGAAAACGCGGATCAACATCATGACATCATGTCAGCTAGGTTATTGTAACATTATCATGGTGCGAACACAGCTAGAGCATTAGTTCAACGTCAAGCTGATAAAAGTAGGCTATTATTGTACCTGCAGTGGGAGTTTACATTTGTATCCAGCATGTTGTGTGATGATTTCGCCATTGCGTTGAAAGTCTCCGTGTGGCCGGTAGAGAATGCTCGCTCCTGAGATCGAGCACGCACTCAAGCATGAGCGCTCTTGATGCATTCTGAAACATCACCGCTAGAGGCCGCTAAAAAACGCATACAGCACCTTTAAACATCAAACAATTATATTAAACAATTCAAATCGAAATCGATCAAAATTAATTTACAATCGTCGATGCTGCCACGCCCCCACGTCACGTTCGTTCGGCTTGCCAAGCTGAAAAAACACGGCGTGTTGATGGCCAACCTCCTCTAACTTAGCTACAGCCATTCAAAAGATAGCATGGAAACTGCAGATACAGGAGACCCGTCGACAGAACATGAACCCCTTCCTCTTTCATTGAAATCGCAGATGTGGATGTTTCAGTAATGTTGACAATGCACTTCAAAAAAGCCACAGTTTGCAGACAAGTCTCAAGTCTCGCGGAAGTTCCGGGAGTCTCCTGCATATTAATGACTCGCATCCATTAAGCATTGATGACTCCCTAATGCACGCAAATTAGTTAAAATCTCCCAGAATCTAGAGTGGGCGAGCAAGAGCGAGCGTGCATGCCGAGACAGAAAAAAACTGTGCTCCAAACCATATTGCGCGCACGGCAGAGAGGGAGAGAGCGAGAGACCTTGCGTGTGTGCTTCATAAAGCGCATGTAAGACAGTAAAAATCGAGAATCGAATCGAACCGTTGACCTTAGAATCGAAAATGTAATCGAATCGAGGATTTTGAGAATCGTGACACCCCTAGTCCTATTCTTTCTGCAACCTCAACGCTATCCCAAAACCGATTCGTACGAGTGAGTAAAAGGTGTACGAAATCGTGCGAAAACATGTCTAAACCAAATGGGTAGGTTTAGGGGGTATAGTGGTGACATCGGTGTAGATGACGTCACCATCACTTAGAAACTTCCAGAAGATCTGACAGGAGGATTACGAAGACGCAACAGGCTTGAGTAACTGTGACGATAATCAAACAAATCTATTTATATATTTATTTATTGATTTCCTTGAAACCTAGGGGCGGGGTCAGGTCATTGAATTGAAAAAAAAAAAAAGTACGAATTCGTACAAGTGAGGTCGTATGAATTCGTACAAATTAGCCACCTCGTAAAATTGGTCCGCATTGCCTGAGATCGGGTTGGCAATCCAGTACAGCTGAAAGGTTTAAGCTATGTCCTCTACTGAGCAGGTGTGAATTTGCATTTCATTCAGCTTGAGGCTTATTTCATTGCACATGTATGAAACAGCCTTTAATTTTGCAAAAGATAAAACTATAATATAATAACAAATACAACATTACTTTCCATGTACCACAATTAGTTGCATGTAGTAAACAATGGCTGCATCTGAAATCGCATACTTCCCTCCATAGCAAAAAACTGTGACAAAAGAGGTATGTTCGAATTCACAGTTCTCAAAGGAGTGGACAAAAAAGTACCCCGATGACCTACTAATTCTGGGGAGAAGCATACGACACTTTAGTATCCCATGAGGCCACGGGAGAGGATTTATGAATGGCAGTGAAGCAAAGGAACGGATGCTGATCACATGATAAGCACAACATGGTGTATGTAATACGTCCAGATTACATACTATAGTATGTTGCCAACTTTCCCCAACACTGTTTATGACACCCAGTGGCAGATAGCATTGAAACAATGCGTTCCATCCATACTATTAACACAGACGTCAGCCTGGACAGGAAATTCAAGACATTCACGTTAGCCACTGAGATATGTTTGGCAACACATGCACATCTAGAGCCAGATCTCTCATTCCTAATGACTCAATAACAGTATGCAGGAGGTCATAGGAGGTGTCTGATTAAAGCAGCCGATAACTTCAGCTTCTGCCTCTACCGAGTTCACAAAGGCCAAGCTTGTTTCAACAGCGACCCACACACACGCAGCTCACAGCTGTGCACACTTGTAACACGCTTTTCAGCCCACAATGAATCTTTATTAAAGCATGAAGTGGTTGGCTGCTGATCAGCTGCGTCACATTTAACAGTCCAGTGATGCCCATGAAGATACCTGAATGAGTCTTTGTAGATTTCATTTTCAGGGCTAATTATTTACAAACTCATTTGTATCTGTGCCAGGCTGCAGTACAGCAACTGTGACACTACAATAAATGAATCAATACATTCATTTCAGGTGTCTCAGACAACGCCAATAAAAATATAATGGTAATGTCTATAATGGCATATTAACATGAAACCAAAGGTCGCTGTTTCCACTTCACATGGACATTTAGAGAGAAAACAAAGTTTCAAGGTGACTTTCAAGGCTTTGTAAACACATTCAGAAAAAGAGGGCACATAAATAGGGGTATTCATACAAGCTATTTATAATCTAATTCAAACATTACATCATTTGTCACACTCTTTAAAGGAATAGTGCAGTGAAAAATACATTCTCACTGAAAATATTTTCAGCGTCGTTATTCTTTAGAACGCAAAATGAAAAATTATCTTTGGCCATGATGTCCGTTTCATGAACAAATGAAAACAGATTCACAAAAAACTTGCTAGTGAGTTGGACGTTTGAATCAGATTCAATCAATTCATTGTTCAGAGCACTACGGACTCCATCACTAAACTGCAACTTACTTTTAAGTAAATATGTATGCAAGAGAGTTTTGTTGTAATAAATTGTATTTTACAGAGTCTTAGGTAGCTTAATCTGTTGATCAATGCCCTTTTTGTTTTTGTTAATTACTTTAAGTAGTATGGAAAAGAAAACCATGTACATTCTTTGAAAATTCTTGGAACAAGATGAGGATGTTTCTCTATAGAAACATCTCTCTTTTTTTTAAATGTAATCTTCCAGGCCACCAAAACAGCAGTACACAGTGCATGAACGGCACAGCTAGACTTGCTGCTTCTGCCATAGAATGGACTGGCGGGGGAGGCATTGAGACGCAACCTGTGTGAGACTGAGGAGGAGCTGCCAGGCCATGAGTGCCAGGAGTGCAGTTGTACGAGCACCTGTCTGTTCTGTTGTTCAATCCACACCAACTGAACAAGACAGCTGCCTCTCTCTCATGTGTATCAAAGCAACGGCATGACTCACCACTCTAATGGCGAACAGTTTGAAACCAAACCGACATAAAACAAGATGTTAGGTAGCTGAGAATAAAAATAAATAAAACGTAGGCTACCTTTGTTCATGTGATTTGCAATAAGGTGGCAAATCGATTGCATCACGCAGGGTTTCATTATGAGGCAAGTTCTCTGTTATTAAGTAACTGTAGCATGGGAAGGAACGTGAACGTGGTCATTGAATTTGGCTTTTTATAATGAGAGACACTACTTCTCCACCTGAGACCATCTCAGTACATTTCACGCTTCAGAGGATTCACTTACAGCACGAACAGTTTTTATGTTGTAGAGCACACAAGCAGGCAAGATCAATTACTTGGCACTTCCTTTCACACTTATTATCAGAAAGCCTGTCTCTGAATTCACAGAAGAAAGTTAAATATTATGCATCTATATGATCTATTTTTTGAAGAATCGTGTGTCACTGAAGACTGGAAAGTAAAATTCAGCTTTCATTTTAAAGCTACACTGTGTGATTTTTATCCCCATCTAGCGGTGAAAAGGTATATGACCATACAATGAATATTAGTTTATTTTCCTCTCAATTCCAATTTCGTTTTAACTCCTACGGTGGCCAATGTAGTCCAAGATTAACTTGGCTTCCAGTTCGACCTCGTCCATGAGTGTTAACTCAAACGTAAACGTGAAAGGCGAAGCTTGAATTAACGGGTATGTCCCTCTTTGGCTAATGAGAGACATTAGAACCCCTTACCCATATTTTCAATGGCATATTATACACTCACAAGAATACTTTATTACTTGAACGAAGTAAATATACATTAATGAGCACATATATTTTTGAAAGAACTAAGTGTTTTTAGCTAAGAATAAACTAAAATAGTTACACAGTGTAGCTTTAAAACAGAAAATAATTATTTTCAAATGTAATATTTAAACTATTATATATAAAAAAAGAAATTGCCAAATAAATGCAGCCTTGGTGTGCATAAAGCACTTGGAATACCAACCCAAACTTTTAAACGCGATTTACTGATTTTTAGATCGAATTTTAATGTGAAAATTGCTAGTTTAATTTTTAGTGTTTTGTTTTAAATAAATTTTTTTGACCATAACATTTTTGGTCATATCTGAGACATGTTGTTTTTTGTTTGTTTATTATTGTTTTGTTTTTTTTTAGGCACAGGTTCAATGTAAAAAGTTATCAGCTGACTTAAACCCGTTGAAGTTAAACTTCATGCATAATTGAAAAAAAACTTGACAATTCCACATTAACTTTTTCAAGTATCCATATATATATATATAGGTTTATTTACTTAATTTTAAAGCAATGGGTTTCCTCACTTATTTAAAGTTAAGTTAACTGATCGCTTTTACAGTGTTGAAATTAATGTATTATATTTGCTGTTAACCTCCATAAATGGATTATTGAGTCACTAAGTCAAACTCAAGAACCGAATCACTTATACAGTATTTGGGAAAGTATCATTCATTTTTGTGAAACTGATTCTCAAAAATCAAACTCAAAAGAGTGATTTAATCCCATTGAGGTTCATGAGGCAGAAACTACACAGTATTACAAAATTAACATTAACCAAGATTAACAGTGGTGTAAAAAAAATAATTGTTAATTCATGATAAAGTGTTAACTAATGTTAGCACAGAAGACAGAACCATATTAGAAAGTGTCACGCACGTTAATTAATCCTAAGTATAAGGAACAAAAATTGTCACTATACACTGAACATCAACCGGATTTAATAGTGTTAAATTCCAAATACAATATTCATTATACTATATTGCCACAACCACATTTGTTCAGTAATCTGTTTCTCCTTTCTAACAAAGAAAAACCAACTGTGCCAAATTATATGGCTATTTAAACATCAACACATCCTTCCTCAAACCCTTATCAATTGAATAATAATAATGCATGTTACTTACCACCATTTACTAAAGTGACAGTGATTTAGTCATCAATGTCTTCTCGTGGAAGAATTCTCTCCTCTTTTTAGTCACAATGAAGTGTTTAGACTGTTGTTATTGTGTCAGAAACAAGGCAACCACCCCCTTCAATCAAAACGATCCCTGATTAATGTGAGCGCACAGAGGAGGGGAAAGCCATATGGAAGATAAGAAGTCAAAGAGAATTCACTCGGGACTGCTGTCACATGGTCAAAGCACTCTAGGCAAGGGGACAGATTCATCTGATTGTCCCTGTGGATACAGAAATGATGGTCAAATCAATGTGAGGTTTTCATGCTTCTGCAACATACAATGTTTTGGGAGTGAGACTAAAATGTTGAACTCTTTAAGATTCAAGCAGAATACTAACAAAAGGAGGTCATGGTCTCATTATCCCATCACAGATTGAACAATACCAGCATGTGCACTGAAAGCAGACGGGTGCAGAAAGAGCCCTGTGGTGCATAGTAATGGATATATTATGCGAATATGAAAACCTCAAGATCTGAACACTTCCACATTACACATAAGTGCATTATAGCAATGCAACACAAAATGTACTCTGACTTTATCTTGCATGTGTGACGTTCTTATTTTAAAGGGGTCATATAATGCAGTTTTCATACAAGTTAATTTGATTTATGGTTTAAATGAAAAGTTTGTAATATACTTTAAAAATTCTCATTAGTGTTGTATAAAACACTAATTTCATCTGGTCAAAAACAGCTCTGCTTTTTTGCGCATGCCTTTAAATGATAATGAGCTTTGCTCACTCCGCCCTTCTGTTCTGTGGGCGTTCGACACAACGCACGTGGAGTGTTGACAACAGTTGAGGGTGTATTTTGGAAAGACAATGGCAGCGGGAGTCTCTGAGGACACATCTGTGCAATCGTACAGTATCAGTTTGAACTGGACCAAGAACAAGATGGTCGGCTGTAAAGAAGTTCGACAATGAAGGCTTGAACAGTGTTGTAGTCGAGACCACCTCACTCGAGTCCGAGTCGACACCGAGTCCATAGAGAGTCGAGTCCGAGTCGAGTCCGAGACCAGAGACGGTCGAGTCCGAGTCGAGACCGTGACCACTGAGGGTTGGTTACCTAATTTACTTTTATTTACTTAGAGAAATCTTTTTTTTTTTTTACTGAATTTACTTAGACTTTAAAAAATATGATCAGTTAAGGGTAAAAAGGCCAAATAGTAGGTGGTGTTAAAAGTAATTTTATTACAATTTGTCATGCGCAGTTGCGCACTAGAAAATCACCAATCACTGGGCGTGTCAATCAATTTAAAGAAATATTTTATTAACATACATTAATAATCATGAAAAATATTTTTAATTGAACTCGAGGGGACTCGGGAATAATTCCGAGTCCTAAAAAAAAAAAATGTTCGAGTACGAGTCAATTCCGAGTCCAAATGGACACGAGTCCATGACTCCAAGACCTTGGTCCAAGACCAAGACCATTAAAATATGGTCTCGAGACCGAGTCCGAGTCTCGAGTACTACAACTCTGGGCTTGAACATGACGTTTCTGAATGGTTAGTTAAAGCAACACCAAGTAACTTTTCCTTTGTGTTTGCCCAACAGTTTGGAAGCGGAATACGCCTTATTCACAGCAGTCAAATCTTTGATTTTTAATGAGAATGAAAGCGATGCTGTGAGGGATAGACATGCATCTCTTCAATGGGCTTTACTGTCATTTAATGTGTTTTCGGATTGTTCTGCTCATGAAACACTGGAAAAATATATTTCCAAGAAATTTCAGTTGACAAAAAACTCCTGACAATGTAAGTTGTGGAAAATTGTAAGTAATCTAGGAGCTTTATTCAGCTTTTTACAGCGGATACCATTGGTCTATCCCTCACAGCCTCACTTTCATACCTGTCATGGTGCTGCTCTGAATAAGGTCTATTTAGCCCACCGCAGCCTACTGTCGCACGCACGCTCGTTTATCCAGCACCGGCTTTGGAATGAACGATGTCCACAGACAAGGTAGAGTATGTTGCCTGATGAAAGTATGATTGGGACATCAGTAACTGACTGTAACGCTTGAAGTAAAGCAAGTCAATTTTGTAGATTTCTTATGTCTCATTAGAACTACAGAAACGCGACCCGGTCTGGCAATCTTACATAGCGCGGTTATAGCAAATACAAGACCGCAAAGCGAATCCAGAAGTGCCTTTCACCCTTAATGACAACTTAATGAACCACTGAAACTATTTTGTAAACATTATTTTAAGGTAAAAAATCTTAGTGTTGCTTTAACATAATGTCACTTTGATCCATCTTTGTATGTACGGTAACGTTAGAGTAACTTGGTGAGATGTACGAATGCTATGTGTTTACTGATGTACAATACATAGTCAGATACATAGTCAGTTTGTAATTACACAATAACCATAATGCGTTTTTCCTTATAAACGTGGGATTATGAATTACATTGAGAACGTCGTACATAGAAAACATGGCATAATGTAACCTGAGTGTAAATCTTAGCCGAATTTATCGTTAAGCGTGCAAGCAATTTGCAAAGATTAATATAAAGGTTAATAAAACTTTACACTCACTTCTTCTGGAGGTGCAGCAGGGACATGAATAGTTGGTACCTATTCTTTGAGCAGCTTCTTCGCAAAACCAGCTCTAAATTGACCTTAGTTTATAAAGCAGTCTGGTGAGAAAAGATTTGCGAATCACGCAAACATGAAAGCATTGACGTCGCTTGTGGCGAAAACAAAACTCAACCACTGTGTCTTCAACATCAAAATGACTGTGTTCGTTATTACACCCAAGAACAGAACAACACAATCGGTTAGACGCCATTCTGCTCTAGTGTATCAACAATGGCGGACAATGATGACAGCTCGCTGCTGTCAATCAACAATCATGGGGGGGGCGTCCGTTTTATTGACATCACAAAACGAACGGCTCGATTTGAGGCAGGGGACGACATTTAAAGAGATTAAAACAAAAACACTGGATGGATTTTTTGGATGGATTTTTATCATAATAGGATGGTTGTGTACAGACACAACACACATTTCAGTACAATCAACTTGAAAAAGTGCGTGTACCATTATATGACCCCTCTAAACTTTATCTGACAATAACCAAAATATTACAAAATAAGTTTGATTATTTGCTCATGTAACTTTATGGACTTTAACATGTAAGTAAATACACTAATCATTCATGATCATTAATAGATCCCGAATAAAGTGTCTTTGAAACCAACTTCCTCTTGATTGGCAGTGAAAGACTCTAACATGGTGATGGAAATCAACACAAAATTCATGATCTGTTCATTGAACAACAATTCCAGAGCACGCTTTGAGCAAACAGGGCAAAGTTTCAACATGTACAGTAGCTGATACATACCATGGTGGATGTGCTGGGGGGGGACTGGACTGTGACAGCTCATCCTCAACACATCCGAGGACATTTCCAGCCAGCTTGACTTAGGGAACTAATGTACTTAAAATGCAATTTGTCATTGAGAAGACACCTTCTTATCTAAAGGAACCACCAAAACACTTAGAACAGGAACAGGCTTGAGGGTTAAGCATTTTGCTCAAGGACATTAGCGTAACTCTTCGTTCATGCATTGCACTTGCAGCCTATGAACCTACAACCTTTGGGTTACCAGGTCAAATCTTTGAACATCAAGCTTTCACAAAGTTTTTGTACTTTTGCTGAACTGAAAGGTTCAGGTGAGGTGAGACAAAAACTACATCATCTACTCACGCCACCCCAAACCCATTCAACTTTTTTTCTTCTATGGAATAGCCTTTTCCTCACATGAAAGCTTCTGAAGACTTGGAAAACTGCTTATCAAATTAATTCATATCATTAATTCAATTCAGTCATATCAAATTAATTACATTTGTGTTGCTTTTACATTGCGTTTTTGTCGGTTTCGGAGCTTGGTCACCATTCACTTTCATTGCATGTAAATGAGCAGCTTTAACATTATCCTAAACATCTCCTTCGGGTCTCTACGTATGAAAGACTAAACTATTTTATTATTAAAGCTGGCTGTAGAACCGTTCACATACCAAGCAAATGCTTCAGTAAGTTTACACTTACAATAGCTAAGTGAATGAACCTGGCCTTCTCTCTCATCACACAGCTGCGCTCATGTGTCGTTGTTGACTGGTTGTGCATGTGAAGAATCCGTTAGGCATAAGCGCAGCGTACACTATTCCGCCAGCCTGCTTGAACAGATGCACGACACAGACTGGCTATGATATAATGGCAGAAGTATCTGAAGAATGGTATTTTGGATTTAAATCAACAGCCTTAGGCAAGGCACAGGAAAATCTTGAGCTTCTTCTGTAAACATAAGGCCCCCTCTCCAGAGACAATGCCACAAGAATAGCTGTAAAAAGAGGATGCACATTCATTTCATGTGTGGCCAGACTGAGAATGTCAATATTTTAGGTATGGTGAGAGCAACGCATTATGGATCACACGCTTCTCAAACATAACATTTCAGGGGAAATTATAGAATACGAGTATTTGAGACGAATACCTCCTTAAGTGGGTGGATGATTGAAATTTAGGCCTGATGATAAAGGAGATGTCTGTACAAATATGGACTGCACACAGTTCCCTTTCGAGGGAACTTCAGCTGCGCCGAGAATCGACACTATGGGGAACGCCTTCAGCATGACACGTTTGAAGCCTGTCGGTAACTAGTCCAATCTTGATTGGTGTTGTGTGATGATGTCACTCGTGACGCCGCATGTGACGGTGAACCCGAAACTATAAAAGGACACCGGCAGCATATCAGCGCCTGCTTTCTGATCTTTTCACAAGTGTTCTGTGTGACTTATTTGATGTTGTATTGTTGTGATGTTGAATTGTTTTGATTTATCACGATGGCAGCAAGGAAGCAATTCACCTTTATTCCAATATAATGGGGTCGAGAGAGATGGGCTATGGGACGATGCCTTGGGTAGAAGAGAAGTTTGCATCTCATCTCTCGCCCAAAGCCGCATCATCCCTGAAGGCTCCGGCGCTTCCCTCCAAGCCCTGCCGTACAACATCGGCCTTGGTTGGGAAGGCATATATGGCGGCAGGTCGGGCTGGTGCATGCCTGCACACAATGGGGCTACTGGCCGACTTGTTAAAAGAGGGGTGGGGAGGTCGCCCTCGACGATATTCAAGAAATGCGTAGAGCGATTGACTTGTCTCTCTGTGCTACCAAGGAAACGGCCCACGCTATCGGCCAATCTAT